CAGAGAGAAACGAGGGGGGTGGCAAGGAGAAGAACGGAGAGAAACATAAATGGAAGAAGAGAAATCCTTTCTTCCGCTACATTCGACCATTTATGTTCCCCTCATTTGTGTTTGAGTGCTGACAGAATGCTTTTTTTCCCCCTTCTCTGTGTCCTTATCTCTAACCCATATAATGTTCTTAATCCCTTTCACGGAGCTTGTGGCTGAAAACTATATAGACAAATGACTTATCTACAGATATTTAAGTGAAGCAAATGTGCATGGACCGCTATTCTACAGTCCCGAGTGCTCTGCCAGCGCCCTCGTCCCCTCCCTATGTGAAATTGTGCAACCAACGCAAAGGGGAATCCTCTCTGACACAGACAAGCACTGCTACGCACACACTGCGAGGGCTGCTGATATATGATATGTGCAGGCACTGAGCTTGCACAAACTGTGCTTTTACTACACACACATCAGCCTCCACTCTGCGAAGACATAACCTTGCTGCCTTTTGTGAAATGGGTTCTCTCTGACGTCAAATGGGCGAGGCGTGCAGCTGAATACAGAGGAGATGAACTGGGTCGAAGCTGCCTGTGTACGTCTCCCACTGCTCTCTGTGGGTTTGTGTGTGCATGCTCACTCCTGTTTGCAGCGATCTGCGATTTCATTCACCTTCATCTTTCATTCAGCCTCTGCAGAGAAAATGGAGAGGCATTCTTGCTACGCATGCTTTCCCATTATGAAATTTGAAATGATGCAGTGAATGAACTAAAAACTAGTCCTAGGTAGCAGCTATTAAGTTACCCTGAGAAAATTATAGGAATATACTGTGATTGTTCTGTTTATTTACCCTCTGAAGATTCCAGTGTATTTCTTACTGTTCTTATTGTTATGGTTTTTTCCTGAGGTGTTTCATGTTTTTAACAGTTTACAAACCCCCTCCCCTAATATTATCATACTCGGCTGGAAATGTCCACACTGGACTGTTAGTACTCTACGTAATAGTTAGATATATTAGAAATGTATGTCTATTATTAACTACCATTCCACTTGTAAAACTGTGTTTTTCGTTGGGTTGACCGATTTATTTTTGTTGAGGACAAAGAATTTTAAACTGGCCCCAAGTCTCATTCTGTTAGGCATTTGTTGTGTCAGCCAGTCCGTAGCATTTGATATCAATAATCTTACTGCATTTATAACTGCCATGCAATTCCTTTCATTTCTCTGGCTTACCGGACTGCTAACTATTGCAGAGACCCTGACCCAGCCTGACCAGATGGAAGCTAAATTTGACAGTGAGCTCATACCTGCAGACAATATTTAGTCTGGCTAGCTTACTGTCTGCAGTGGTTATATGCATACTGTGTGTTTGTAATGGTGTGTGTTAGTTTTAAGGCAGTGTTTACCAGCCTTACTGCCTTTCTCTCTCTCACACACACATAAATGCGCACACCCGCCCCTCATTTCTGATTCAGGGATCCTTTCCAGTCTCAGCTTTTGATGTGGTAACCTAAACCAGTGGGCTGGGTAGCTTATGACCTATGTGTCTCAGCATGGACCCTGTCATCAGGGTCCGTGCTACTCTGCAAGACCAGTAATGTGCATGATGTGGGTCAAAGTGTCCTGCACTGCATCATGACAGCTGATGAGGATTGACTATATTTGTTATGTTGTCAGTGGGTGGGATTTGTGGACCTCGGGTAATGTCAGACATACACAAAATCTTACCTCTGCAATCAAACACAAGTAGTATGTGAGAGTGAATTGTGCAAAAGCAAAAAAGCTTGACAATAGCAAAAAAAGTGGCATAGGTTAGTAATGACCCCACTGTTAGCTTTCGGTAAAAATAAATAATCTGCTGCACTGCCCGTGTTTTTTGTTGTAAGGTATGGCATAGAAGATGGCACCTGGGACTGTAAAGTCTAGCATTGCATTGTGCAGTGATTTACAATATGACACAGATGGTAAAAACAATTTGTGGTTGTACCTGGCTTTGTGGAAACATGCTTTCGACATAATTTGCAGTGTATGCTTTTCTAACCACATTATTAGTTTGCACAGTGTTATTCTCATGGCTTTTCATGTTGCCTGTCAAAACATTGATGGACTGAGTTCTCTTGCCTTTATATTGACCATGTCTCATATTTATATTGAAGAAAAGTTATTTTGTGATTATTATCAGTTTTATTGGCTGCCCTAGCAGATAGCCAAAGTGAGATGTCAGCATCAGGCCCTCCACCACATTGACTGAACTGGGGCACAGGAAGGAAAGAGCAGTGCTGCTGCTGATAATGTAGTTGTTCAGTCTACAGTGTGCAACCCTTAATATATCATAATGTAATCGTGGTGTATACATTTTTGATAAAATGGTCAAAAACAAATAAGGCTCAATCTTTACAAAACCTGTTGTTGCCCTGTTGCTCATAGGAAGTTTATTTGATTGTTAGGGCTTTTTCCAGAATACTATAGGGCAGGGGTGTCCACCTCCAGGCCTCAAGGGCCGGTGTCCTGCAGGTTTTAGATGCGTCCTTGATCCAACACAGCTGATTTAAATGGCTAAATCACCTCCTCAACATGTCTTGAAGTTCTCCAGAGGCCTGGTAATGAACTAATCATGTGATTCAGGTGTGTTCACCCAGGGTGATATCTAAAACTTGCAGGACACCGGCCCTTGAGACCTTGCAGTATAAAGTGGCTTGAGGTGTCTGTTGTGATTTGGCAATATATAAGTAAACCTGAATTTATGTGAATTTAATATAGACCCCCACACACTATATAGTGATATTGCCCATTGTTTAGAGATGCCCCATTTAAAAAGCCAGGGGTTAATTGTTTAACAGTTTATTTTGAGGCTAGATGTTACAAATCAGGAGTGGTTTTGACTATGAAACCACACATTTATTGAGCCTGTGATGCCCTGGATATCCTTTCAAAATGTTTGGATGGCAGTAATTTACAAAATAGACTTAATGTTGTACTCACAATGCCCTGAAACTAGTGAGTTTTCCTCATAAACTCTTTAGGAAAGTTTATCCCCGTGTTTTATTCAGGTCACAGGGTAAGGGAGCTTGAGGCTGTTTCCCCATAGATTGCTAACTAGTCTTTTTGCAACCACAGGTGTTGCCACTAAAACAGATTCAGGTTGAAGGAGATAACTTTTCTTTTGTTTACTGATTTAAGAGACCTTAAATTGGTTGTAATATCAGAGTGCTCTGTTCAATCATATAGGTGTGACTTTCATCCTTGCTAGCTAGGAGAATGAAGACACAACTTTCCCTTGTCATGTCTATACCAGGCTATACAGTTGGATAAAAATGAATGATAAATGCTGCTAGTGAATGTTTTGACATCATGTCCCAAGATGTTTTATCAAAATCAAAAGGAATATCGGTGTCATAATGCACATCGGTGTGAAAAGAAAAATAACAAGAAGAAAGATTCTGATAAATATGCAGCAGTCTGAAAGGTGTAGTCATGTTTATCATCATTCAGAGCAAGGAAAAGCACAGAGCAGGTTAAAGGCAACTGAAGAAGCCTCACTAGTCACTTATCAATTCAGTAGCATTAATTTGATGTTTTACTACTTGATATCCTGTGACCTAGAAAAATGAGAAACCACTTTGTTGTCAGTGTAAGATTGCCTGAACTTGAGAAAGCGAAAATGGAACACTCGTAATGGCGTATCCGGGCTCTTGCTGTTTTTCTTTTTCTTGCTGTATTTTCTCTGCTACTGTCCTTCCATATCTCTCTCTGTACACTGAAATCCTTTTATTTATTTTTAATATCATTGTTTTCTCTTCCTGTTTCACTGGTACTCCCTCAGCACAAATGGCACTAGTTCAGAATGACGTTATCATCTCCTTGGCAACCCCTTGGGCTGGTGTGTGTGTGTGCGTGCACGCGTGTAAGAAACTGGGAGGAGTGTTGATAGAGCAGAGATCATAAGCGAGGGATGGGCAGAGGAGGAGGGGATAGGTAAAGCCGGTTTATTCATAAGCACCCCACTACTGGCTCTGATTCACAATTTCTCCTGCAGCCCCTCCCTTACATTAAGCTTGCACAGTTTGCTCAGCCAGGAGATTTGAGACTGACGTTCGAAATGAATGAATATATTTGCTTTCGAATCAAAAATCTTTCCCTCTCTTTGTGCAAAACTGCCCTGCAGAGTGCGGTCAAGCAGGAGCATGATATTATTCTTATATGATCAAGTCGGCCACATGTCGGCGTAGCTGAAGTTTTGTGTAAGCAGAATATGGCTGGGACCTGTGGGTGCCCTGGTCAGTGATGTAGTGTAATGCTGCTGATGACGACTTTGCTGTTACATTGCCTGGGTCTTTCCCACACTGGGAATCCCTGCCTCATTTTGAACACTGTATCTATTCTGTTCTACAGCATGGCACAGTGGTACAGGCATGGATGTACATGAATCTTCAACAGTGCACGCAGTGCACATAATACAACAAGCGTACTTATTTTATATATACAATTATATTAACAAAGCTGCACAACGTGCTGTTTTTACTCCTGTGTGATGGAGGAATATAGGACTATATGACCGTTTATTTGCTAGTGAGGCTGTGCTGCTGTTCTTGCATGACACCAGAATTTTAAAAAAGTACTGTTGGCACTGTTCAGGACCTTTTTTTTTTTTTTAAACAGGCAGAAATTTTCAGTGTGCTAGACTCTGCCAGATGGTGTGTGTCTGCTACCTTTCTGCTGGGATGAATTGCAGAGGAGGAACACATTTTTAGCGCTTTCTCAGAAAGCACATCGTGAAACATGGAGCCCACACTGTAGAAACTAATTATAAGCAGTGACAAAGTCAACAATTTAGCAGTTTAAGGAAGATTAATCCTGCTTTAGCTGCTACTTTTTAAAACCTGCCTGCTGCTAGGGTTTGAGCTTTCAGCTGCTTTGTCCCCCTCCCTCTTAGAAATAGCAACAGCAGCAGCGATGAGTCACTCAGTGTGTGAAACATGACGTCATCCGTGTCTTCCTCTTCTGCTCTTGGTATACAGGACTCCTGACTGTAGGACAGACCATGCTGCTGCACTAAGCTGAAGAGCGAGAGAAGGAGAGAGAGGCCACTGAGGACCCCTGAGGTGGTGGCTGGTCGTTTGGTGCCCCTCCCACTTGTCTGGCTGGCTGGCTGCTGCCTCTTCAATTCATCTGATTGCTGTAGATATCTTTTTTTTCCCCCCCCATGTGCATGTTGTTTTTCTAAGGTTATCCTAAAGGTGTGTCATTGAGAGCAGGTTTTGCACCTATGTTGGGAAATGTAGACCTTAAAATTAGTTACTAAAATGAGTTATTCTGCATTTCTAGTTTTTTTTTAATTTACAAACTGTGATTTATTTTTGTCTGATGTTTTTTTAAAAAACAAGAACCAAATAACCAAAAATAGCCTCCCTAATTTAAACCTAAAAAGTTTTTAGATGCTACTTTTTAAAGTTGCTGCTGTTAGGTTGAGCTTTCAGCTGCTGTGTTCCCCCACTCAACTCCACTTGAGTGTCACAAGGCGCAGTAAAGTGTTACATTTATATATATATATATGTATGTATATGTGTATATGTATATGTGTATTATGTATCATAATTTGGGGATTTTTCTCTCTCTTGTCCTTATAGCCCTTCCCCAGAGGCTAAGACTTGCTATGGACTGCACTTCGCCCCCTGCTGCAGCCCAGTCGAGTACACTACGTTAGTGGGTCCCCACATCTTTTCGTGTGGTTCCTGTCCAGACTCAGTGAACAGAGTCCAGCTCCGATCTGGTACCACCTACAGGTAAATGGTGTTAAAGTACATTCTCTCTGTCTTTTTTGGCTTTCCTTGCACAGTTTTTGCCAAGTGGGTAGCCATTCTGTGCAGCGAGTGCAGAACTTCCCCTTCTTATATCTATCTTCTTTTTTTTTCTTCTCTCAGCCACTGCTGGGTCCTCCACCCAACCCCCTCCCCACTCCCACCCTCCCCCCTTTCCCCTAAAAAGATGTCAGTGAGCCTGACAACGGACATCCAGCAGGAGGGAGAGAGTGGGCCACTTATTGAGCCCTGCAGTCGAGGCAAGACCTCCCCTCAACCACAGGGCACCAAAGAAGGAACTGGAGAGAGCCTGGAGCCGGATGATAGCTCTCCACAGGATGCACAGGTAGGAGAAGTTGATCATACTGGTGATAGTAAGTTTGCATTTAGATGTTAAAAAAAGAAAGGAAGTTGTATTCCACATAGTTCTAACGCATTTCCTCTCTTGAGAAGGACCATTGTTGAATTTCAGGGCTGGTAACAATACCCAGTAATCAGCTGTTTGTTTTGTTTTGTGACTAGTAAGCTAACCAATTATTGTTGGTGTTACGGATGAGGTGGATTCAAGTCAGGAAATTCATATTATTATTATTATTTTTTTCAAATGAAGCTACCTTTACCTTCTACTTTATTGGCAAATATCTTATTGTGCTTGACAAACATTGTCTTTTCAGTAACACATTACCAAAAGTTTTATTCCTTATTTTGCTGCAGGTTTTTTAATCAACGAACAATAGCGTTATTATCCCACATGTTGTGTTGAAGCTTTGAGTTAGCCAGTAATATTTAAACCTCATTATGGTTTATACTGATGAATGCAGAACAATTTCTTACACACATGTTCATTTACTCCTCAACTTTATGTACCCTATTTAGTTTGTGTCTAATATACTGTCATTTAATTAATAAAATGATTCAATAAACTATTCTTTCAGAAGCGGGCTCCTAACCACAGCCATGGAAGGAAAAGGGCCAAGGTAAGTGTCTGTGGTTAGATTTTTTTTTTCTTTTTAAATAAATTTATTCAAGTTTATTCTTAATTCCTTGAAATAATCCCCGTGCTATTTTGTTTGTTTGTATAAGGCGACCTTCCATTATTAACACTGTAATCCTCTCAACTACAGAGGAGCACCTCCTTTATTGGCTTAAAATCTTAAGTCCAACTTTAAAAGTAGCTGTGTTAGACTGACCTCTGAAATGATAAGAGAAAAACAGATACAACCAGTTACATTTTACAACTAGATGTTGGTTTGCAGAGTAAAGGGAAAAAGAAAATCAGGTCAGCTGTTTCGTGAGTATGGCGACCAAATTGTACGTACAGTAGCATAGTAAAGTAACATTTTCATTCAGTTATGTTAGTAATGAGTTATGGATACTGTAGCTCTCTTAAACTGGCTTTACCTTACTTATATGTATGTGTAATTGATTTTGGACATTCGGACATTGATAAATATGACATACCAGTGTTTAGTCATTCTTGATTATGAGAGTTCAACCCAGTTATTGTGTTTTTGGAATGGTATTTTAGTATGACATACCTTGCTTAACCAGTTCCCAATGCTTTCATTAGATAATGGCTCTCATCATGTCACTTAAAGGTTTAATTTTCTCTGGGGTTTTAACCAACAAATGAAGTGTTGTCATTACATATGCTGTATTGAAGATTTGTGTTAGCCCTGTGCCATCTTGGGTCTTTCTTCATTAGCTAATATCATTGTCCTGAAGGCTCGAGAGACATTTATGCTGTTGTTTATGCGATAGAAAGCCTAACATCAGAATTTTGGCATGGTACACAACGATGTTAATGAAATTCAGAGTTTCCTTGTATCAAAATGCTAGGTGCTTGTATTTTACACATGGATAGATGTAATAGTATGTTGTCGTAGTAAATTATAGTTGGAAAGTCTGAGCATAAAATCTAAAATCTAGCTTAGAGCAAATCGCACTATTTCTGTGTTTAGAATATAAAATTGTAACACATTAGCCTTACAGATAATTTGTGTGGTAATCTTTCAGTCTAATGCCAAACTGAAGCTGGTACGAAGTCTTGCAGTGTGTGAAGAGTCCTCCGGTCCGTTTTCCAATGATGGACCACCAGAATCGGTAACGTGTTTTGTTTTATTTTTTGGTTGGTTTTTTTTTGGTTTTTTGTGGTTTGCAAGTCTGTTTTGACGGGATTTACAATGCTTAATAGGCAAAATTAGTAAATGCACAACCTGCAATTTGTGTAATAATGAAAAGCGGTTTTCTAGGATATCATCCAGCTTCACATCAGCTGTCCATCTGACAAAGAGGAGGAGAAGTCCTCGAAGGACGAGTATGAAAATGAAGAGGAGAAGAAGGACAAGACTCCCCGAAAGATGCTGTCACGTGGTAAGATGCAAACTCTCACTTCATAAAAGTATCTTTTCCTATCAACATCTTCCCTTAACTCTGTCTGATTATGCCCCCCCCCCCCTCCCTTTTTGTTTTTTTTTAATAGACTCCAGTCAGGAATATACTGACTCCACAGGCATCGACGTTCACGAGTTTCTGGTCAACACACTGAAAAACAATCCCAGGTACGGGTCTGACGGATAAACATGTTGGTAATAAGACGAGCACAATAATAAATTACTTATTAAGTAAGATAAGTGCTATTGATTTATACCAATCAATTTATAAAATTGATTTTTCCCATTTTTTTAACAGGCTCAAATAGTGCAGTTCTTTGTCCAAACTATGAAAATATGAAATAATATCAAACTTGATAGCAATGATTTTATTTAAATTGCATTTTTTTTATTGTAAAATCAAATATCATTTGTTTTTGACTAGTTGTTAAAAAAAATCTGCACTCTCTAAATATCTTCATTTTCATCCTGAAAAATTGGATGTTGTGTCATGAGATACGATCTACGCCTGTACAGGCTTCTGTACATGAATTTTACTTTTTTAGATATCTGAAAAACAGCAAATTTTGGTGTCCTGAATTTTGAGAACACTTTTTTTTGTTGTTGTTGTGTGTGTGTGTGTGTGTAATGACATGTCAGTAGTATACTTGCTCCACTATTCAGCGTCTTGCTCACCTCTCTGATCTGTCCCTCACTCGCTTTCCCTCTATGGCTCACCAGGGATCGAATGATGCTGCTTAAACTGGAACAAGATATCCTGGAGTTCATTAATGACGACAAGTAAGCCACGTTCTTCATATCACTCACATGTTTTTAAATTTAGCCCTCCCACCTTCAGTTCTTATTATTTATAGTGTGCTGAGGAAATGAGAGAATTATTTTAAGTTGTAGTTGTGTATTCTGTAATTAAGAATACTATTTGTGTATCCTAACAGTTTGAAAATCTATCTTTATCCTTTATAAATATTGTTTTTCAAATGTCCTAAATAATCAGAGAATTAAAACCCAGCTGTGGGTAATTTGCTCTGTTGAAATAACCTGCTTCATGCATTTTTATCTCTGTTTCAGTAACCAGTATAAGAAGTTTCCACAAATGACTTCTTATCATCGTATGCTGCTGCACCGTGTGGCTGCCTACTTTGGCATGGACCATAATGTGGATCAGACGGGAAAGGCTGTCATCATCAACAAGACGGGCAACACACGCATGTGAGTGTAGTTTGTCTTTGGCTCAGATTTCAACTAGTCTGGTTAGTTAGAACATCAAATTAATGCTCAAAGTTCAATCCTGTTCCAAGACAAAACACAAGAGGCAATGTATGTGATATCAGCAAGAGTACACAAAAACTTTATTTTAGATTTAATTACTGTTCATTAAATAAGTTCAAATTAGGACATTGGCTGTGGTGGAAAAAACCCTCAGCACACAAGTTTGACTCCCTGCATGTATGCGCCCCCCCCCCCCAAAAAAATCTAATAGATTTTTATCAGTTTTATTTAACTCTGTACCATTGTTTCAACTAAGAAAGAAGTAAATTTTTAATATAAATAATACTTGTATTGAGGTATCGATTGTGCCAGCAGCAGTTTCACCTTAGATCAGCGGTCCCCAACCTTTTTGGCGCCATGGACCGGTTTATGCCCGACAATATTTTCACGGGCCGGCCTTTAAGGTGTCGTGGATAAATACAACAAAATAAAACTAGTACCGGTACCGAAAAAAAAGATTTATTCATACACACGTGAAAAGACCCAGGAAAACCGAGTTAATGATAAAAACGATAACAAAATAACGCTGAAAACCCTGAAAACCACACATTTCACACCTGAGCCTCAACTCTCGCGGCCCGGTACCAAGCGACTCACGGACCGGTACCGGTCCGAGGCCCGGGGGTTGGGGACTGCTGCCTTAGATGTTAAAGTGGACAAAAATACTATGTGAGGATTTGTTAAAGCACATGTTGACAAATCGTTAGATCTAGAAATGAAAGAACAAAACATTTGACTCCCTTTGGAGGTACCAGCATTGCAAAATTTACTGTTTTTTCCCTATAGTTTACAAAATTTCACCAGCTCAGTTTTATCTAGGTTTATTTACTATATCAGTTTTCAGAAATCCACTCAACTTTTCTAGGCATGATTGGATGGAAGTGCATTTAAGAACATCATGTCTGACACTGTCAGATTGGGCATTAAGCTTTCTTGAACTGTCAAATCCCCCATGTGGAGTTTGATTTGCACGGATGTGACAGCATTGCAGGCAATAGTCTTGTGAGTTCACAGCTAGTGTCCTGTCTCATGCACGATTTACTTAAGCAGAATATTTCCAGTATTAAGAACCCAGCTGACGCAAATTAACTCCTGCTGTGACACATGTGGGGCAGTGCTTTAGAGCTTTGGACAACAGTTTCTTTCCCAGATTCTCCCAAAATTCTTGTCTTGAATTCATGTGTGAAACGAGCTCATGTTTAAAAGTATGCTTTTTGTCCTCCACAACGTTTGTTTTTTTGGTTGTATAGCCCAGAACAAAGGTTCTCTGAACACATCAAGGATGAACGCAACATGGACTTCCAGAAGAAGTTCATCCTTAAGAGAGATGATGCTAGCATGGACAAAGATGATAATCAGGTACATCGATTGTTATCACAAGTACCTTGTAATTTTTTGTGTGTATACAGTGGTTCATTTGTTTGTTTGTTTTTGTCACTTTCCACGCATGCTAGTGTTTTTAGCTCCACCAATGAGTTGGATTCCTCGCTGAGTAACAAAAGCTTCTGTAGGCTTGTCTCAAATAGTTTTTCTTAATAACTTTAAAAGAAACACTGTATGTAAAGCTAGTTCTCAATCTTGCTGCCACATGTTACAGCTTTTGGAGATGGCCCCACAAAAATAAAGGGACATAGCTGGATTTAATGGCATGTGGTGTTTGACATGTTTTTCATTCAGTCAGACAACAGATTGCCGAGGCATCTGGATGTGTGAACAACAAGCATTGCAGCAATTTCTTGGCTCAGTCCTGTAGTCATCTTACATAACCTTGCTGAGGAGGCTAATTAGCTGTGTCAGTAACAGTTATGATAGAATGCAGGGTTTGGCCACAGAATGGCCATTGGCTACAGTATACTGTTAAAATAGCACAGTTATCAGTTAGGAGTGAAACTGCATTTGTTATCAAATATGAATTTTAAAATTTTTAATCTGCAGAATCTGGAAACATACCACATATATTGCATTCCTAGGCTATGTACAAATAATTGCATTTTTCTCTCTGATCCTGATGCAACCATTGCATTTTAGCTTTTTGCTTGGTTTCACATCCTATGGTTTCCATATACAGAATCTTTTCTTATTGCTAAATTGTGGTGATAAATTTAGGATGATGACTGGGAACTGCTTGACTGCACCATTTCCTTTCTAACCTAGCATCACCAATATCATTTCTGTATTAGTTATCGTCCTCCTACTTTCATACAGTTCATAGTCTTTAAGACATTTCAAAATCTTCTTGATGGCTAAGCCTAACATTATGACCACTAGTACAGATGAATGTTAATTACCTTATTCCAACAGCAAAGGTCAGAGAAAGACAGCAGCAGAAGGTTTTTCTGAGTGTATCCAAACTCCCCATCAGCAGTTATGAGTGTCTTTTTAGAGCTTTCCAGTAATCAAATTAGGGAATGTATTAGAGGAAATCCAAACTGTTTTGGCTTTGGCTTAGAATTTACAGGAATTAAATGATCATCGATGCTCGAGTCTGTGTACAAGATCCCCTGAGGACCTGTGTGTTGCACCCAAAAGAGTAACGAAGTTCCCTGCAGTGGTGGTCATAATGTGACAGCTTTGGGGACCCCACAATTGTGAAACATGTAGCACAGAAATTCAGTGCAAAACTTGAATTTATCTGCTGTATTGTTAAATTTGATCTATGTTGAAGAGCTATAAAATTATACACTTTTATAAAAACACTTTCAGTTTATTTCAAAAGGAACTTGATCTTTGCATGCTTCGATATTTGAGTAGCTCTTGAGATTTTAAATTAAACCTTAAATTGGACATTTTCAAATACAGAGACAATTCTCCACTTTGGAATTAGGAGATTCTGTCTCAAAATTGATTTTGTTTATTTTGTTTTCTGGACCAAGTTTATCACACCATTTTATTCATTTCAGCAGTGTTTGTTTGGGGCTATGACACTTTTTCCTAATGCTTGCACAGATTTGTCATGCTGTCTTCTATGATTCTATGTTCTCTCACGTTTGTGGTGTTAAAAATTCCCACGCTGACTCATCCCTTGAACACTCACTTTGCACAGTTTTCATTCTGCTGTCTTGTTTTGACAACAGACATCTGCTCTTCCTCACATGCTATTGTTATCTTGTGCATTGCTGCTACTTTTCTTGACAGCAGGTTGCACAAAGTGTGACTATACGTGTTTGAAAATTAAATTGCATGCTTAATTATTTTACATTGTCATTCTCTCCCCAAATGTTAGATCCGCGTGCCGCTGCAGGACGGGCGGCGTAGCAAGTCCATTGAAGAGCGAGAGGAAGAATATCAGCGGGTACGAGACCGGATCTTTGCCCGAGAAGTAAGTATTGAACATGGATGGAGGAGCAAGTGCTTGCAGTGCATATTTCCTCATATGTCAACAGCACCAGTGTTTACTCAGTCAGGTTTACTCAGAAATTAATTTCTTTGTGATAATCTTCCACAATATCAACAATTACCTTCACTTAGTAATTTACTTTATGTGTTAAACTTTTTAATGAACTGTTCTTTTTCTTGGGTTGAATATTTGACAGTTGTATTTTGACCAGATGCTTGTGGTAGACATAAACAAGCTTTGGACATAATTTAATGGGATTTCTGACTGTTTGTCTTGGCAGAATTAGTAAAGTTCAGTACAGTTTGTTGTTTTTCAGGAAGAACCTACATTTTAAGCACATTTACACATAATGATCTTAAAGAGTTAAGATCAGAAAGACTTTATGTTAGCTGGATTTATCCCTCCTATTAGCTGCTTTGATTTGTGTTCAATGTGAGATGTCTGAGGTATTCGTCCTCCTCTATCATTAGTGTTTAGCGTTTTTTGAGTTGTTTGGAGCCATATGGTCTGTTCTCCACTTAGCTAAAGGTAACACCTTGGGCTTACTGATCTTAAGCACTTTCCAACTTTTTGGGAGATTATTAGAAAGTAAGTGATCAGAATCATGTGATAATCCTGGAATCTGCAGTTCGTAAGAAATGCGTTAGAAAGGAAAAAAAAAATCATTTTTATCCCCCCCCTTTAAGAGAGTTATGTAGTAGGGTCATTCAACCTCAGAGGAACAGGTCAAAGAAACCAGTGAAGTCATTTTGGATATGAATGCCATAGCATTACAGATCCTTCAGAGTTTTATCCATGCTGCCTTTCCAGTGAGTCCCTCATCTCAGACCCGCTCACTCAAATGGCACCGGGTTGGACTGCTGGCAAGAGTAGTCCTTGTTGAAAGTGTAGACTGTTGAGAAATGGGTCCTGTGGTAAACTCACCAAGGCTGCGCATCAGAACAAAGATGTCATAAAATCTGCCTGTAATAGATTGAAACTGTAACTGGATGTAGTCCAAAACACTGAAGTTAAAGCTCGTCTGCTGGATGAGAGAAACACTGAAAAGGCAGTTTTGTGTTTTGATTCTTATTATTTGCCACACTCAATTTGCAGTCTCTTGTGAGGTTCTTGATCCCACACTGGGAATCTGTGCTTTATTTTATGCCAAATACTCATAAATCCAAGCCTGTAAACCTTTTTGAAATGGAAAACACTGCTTGTCTTAAGTGCTCTTGAAAGAATTATACATTTCATAATGTGCAGGTGTCCTTTTTTTTACAGTCTTCTCAAAATGGATACATCAATGACAACAGGTAAGATCCTACGTTCTTCTGAAGAGTTCAATGTTTGTAGTTCATAGACTTCATCATGGCCATCTCTCCTATTAACACTGTATTGTGTTAGGTTTTAGTTATGAGAGGTAGGCAGCTACCTCATTAAAATATTAAGAAGTATCTGTATGAGTTGAATTTTTGACTTCTTGCAAGTTTGCCTTGTGTAAAATTTGATTGTAGAGAAGAAATCAAATTTCGCTTTTTTAAAAAAAAATCTTTTTTTCTTTCAAATGATTAATTTTCTAATTTCCCTGATGTTTTGTGTTAAAATTACTTTGAGTGACACTGTGTTTGAGAGAGATTTGTGCATAGTGGAATGCCACTTTTTTCCTTCTCTCTTATTTTAATAAGAAAATAATTTGACTCACAAGCAGTTAGACTAAGACGACCCCTAAGCATCCTGTCCGTTGAACTTGAAAGAGTATGATATAATATGCTGAGAGAAACGGGAATGATTGACCAGTCAACTTTTTGCCTTGTGTGCATTTTGTTTTTCTCCCTTATTTCTTTGGGTGGTGAAAGTTGCAATGAACCTTCCTCTACCTCTTACACCACTCGTTGTCATTCTTCTATAAACCCTATCCTGTTTTCCACTCCAGTCCTGTAACTCTAGCGTTTTCTCCTAATGTTAACCCCAACAGACTTTCCACTGAGGGCTACTGCTCTAGCTCTCAAAAGAGGAGGCAGATCTTTAGGTATTGGGCTACTGCTGACTGACTTGTGTGTTGCCATGCCCATTTTTCAAAGTGGTTTGGTGATGATAGTGGTGACCTGTGGTGGTTATCTTTGCTTGGCATAGTCGGCTGATTAATGGCTATTCCAGCATTGCACTTTTGGGCTTCCCAAGACCCATGCATGGCTGCTTTGTGGTTTCACTGGGGACTCACTGACCTACTTACCCTTCCACCCATCCACCATCAACCACATTTTTACACAAAGTAACTGCATTGCTTTCACAGTAATCTGTTTGTTTTGTGGTTGACTCAGTCTTGTAGTTTTTGTTAACATGTCAAATGTTTCATAGTATTGCATAAAATATACAAGTAGTGCGCATGTACAGTAGTGCTCTCCAACTGACATGGTCATTTGAAAATAAGAACCACGAGGCCCTTTATATTTTGTGTCCCACAACTAATAATTTTCCTTATTGATAAATACTTTCTACTTTCATCTGTACAGTGTTGGGAGATGTTCATGATTACTAATGAGTACTGTGTAGTCTCTTAGATGGAAGCCATAAAAATGTCTCATGCATCAATAAATACTTGTATATAAAAACTAAAGTTAAAAGTCCAAAGAGATACTAAAAATAGCTTTGTTTGCATGCTTAACATGCTTTTAGACCTTTGTGCCCAAACTGTTCGACCTGCCTCAGCTTTGACTCTGATTTCTATAGCTATCCCATCCTACTCAGATATTATCATCAGATCCTTGTAGTGTTTTATGTTGCCTGAACAGATCAGGCGTGTTGTGGCGTATCCTGCAATACCAACATTTCCACTTGTCCTTAAACTAACCTCTGTTAGTGGAGCTTTGTCGCTGCTCAATATAAACACATTACAAACCTTAAGATCTAATGTGTCTTTGCCGTTTAGGAGTGGTATTAATGTTTTGGTACGCATGTGTACTTGGTTTAATTGGAGGAGCAAATACGTTGGTAACTTGGGAATCAATAAATATAAATATATGGTTTTCATGCCTCTACACTTGGCATCACATTCTGTTGTTTTGAAAATGCTGCCTTTAGGGAGTTACTGGAAATTTTCATTTGGATTAGGATGAACTGATTTGGAATTTGGTGGTCAAAGGTAAAAAAAAAATCAGATAGGCCATGTTTTTGGGCTAGGCTTTAAAATTCTTATGGAATAATCCACTTGTAAGATTTAGATTAATAATAGGATAAAGTTTTGGCATTTTGTTTACAAAAGCTTAAAGGCAGAGGCCAGACAAACATTGATAAAACTGGTGAAAGCGTACAAGATGGTAATTCCAGTGTTTTTATTCTGTAAATATAAACAGGATCTAATATATGTTCTGCTGTTTGTAACATGTGTTTGTGTAGTGAAATGTAGACGTTTTCAGACATGACCCTTCTGTCATATTTAAGAAGTCCACTTAAAAAAATTCTGTTATCACTTAATTTATGAAAATTTTAGAAGTTTAACATGGGAATTGAAACAGAATTATGTATGTTTGAAGTGTTTTTCTTTCCATCTAAATGTGCTTATAAGAAATTTTAACCTTTTAGAGAATGCATGCTGTTAAAATACACCCCTAAAATCACAGACTTGTTGATGTTCTTCAGTTTAATGAACCCACATAAAAGCTCTTTGGCTATAATAACATCTAACAAGGAAAATGATTGAGGTGCAGAACACCAGGAGTCTTATCTCCCCCTCCTTCCCTTGTTTGTGCATGTGATGGGGGAATGCTGTCGTGGGGAGATGAAATATCATGTGATCAACAGCAGAATCCCTCCTCCTCTTTCTTCTCATCCTGCTCTCATCTTTGTCTGCAGATCGAAGCGAACAAGTGTGCGACTGCTTGTACAGAGAATGTCAGAGCACCCACCCTTCCTTAAAATAGGCTGTGCAGAGAGAGGCCTCAAAATAGATCCCCCCCATTAATTCGGTCTCTGAAATATTTATGAGCCACAGCCACCTTTTAAGCACTACTGCCTATCACTATGGTTTTACAACCATAAACACATCTTCGTGCTCATCATGGAGATTTCCACAACCTGTCTGACATATTATGAATTAATTCCAGTCTTTTCTCTGTACATGGACATACTCTGTTCATAAACCTCCAATGATGGGGTAAAAAACATTTACAGCCCTGGTGGTTGTTTTTCTTTTCTATGCTTTTTTTCTTCTTCTTGCATGCAGGGTCTTTGTTCTACAATATTTTAGCAGCACAGTTGCATTTTTCTTTTTAAGTTTTAAAGTTAATAAATTCCGCTTTCTTTTTTTTTTCTTTCATGTTCAGCTAGAACAATAGTATTCTTAATGCTGCCACTTAACTGGCAGACCCAGTCATTCACGTGATAGTGGATTTCCTCAGAGTGGTGGTTACTGTTTCAGCATGATCATTAGTTTTCTTGGCAGCTACCCTTATCTAGGGTGACAGCATCACAACAACACGTTGTGTGTGTGAACACAGCAGTGTAGCTTAAAGAACTATATTGGTGAAGCATTTGTAGTAAGTGTGTATTTTTGTAAGTATTGTGTGTGAGAGTCTGAGTGCTGATGTACATCTGCTCTTAATGAGTGTTTATGTACATTTGGTATTAATTCAGTAGTGTATGTGTGTTTTGTTTCTATGCTATTTGCTGTCTCAGTGAAAAGACGATGCATTTTTAAGTGCATGCATGATTGTTTCATCTGTGTTAATATGTTTAACATGTTTATGCAAGTATATATGTCCTCTATGGGAATGGTGTCTACAGTCTTTGGGCCTTTTCACACCTGGAAATACAAACTAGGTTCATATTTTGTTAAACTGATCTGGTTAGTATGTGAATGGAGTCCAAAATAGTTTACGTTCCACGTGGACTTGATACTGATTTGATGGGGATGTGTCTGATATACACATGCATACATACCGGCCTCACTTTCTTTATTTTCAGATGGCATTGCTCTGTCACAATATACCTGAAAGGTGTCTGCATTTTCTTGAGGTTTTAACCCTTCAAGTCCCTTGATATTTAAAAACAGTCTCGGCCTCTCTCTAGCGGCCTCTACCACAGAGTGTTCTAGTTTTCACAGTAGAAACAAACACAACTCGTTCTGGACCGAAGCCACCTCTTTTTGTCAGGTTAAGTTTGACTGTTTGGTCTGGACCCAGGCCCATATGTCCATAAGTTTTAACTACAGTGATTTTGGTTGGTATCAAACAAAATTTAAAAAGTCTAGACCAAACATGGTAGGTGTGAAAGCACCCTTAGATGGTTAATGTGTGCTGAGCTCTTGGAAATCTGTCTTTGTGTCTAGTGTCTTTGTAATATCTTCTTACATCCTAGTGTTTGGAGCATCTTTTGCATGTATGTTTTCCTTTCTGGATGGGTTTGTGTGAGTGTGTGTGTGTGTGTGTGTGTGGGGGGGTTGTATTTTTTTTAAATTTGAGACATTATTATTTGGTATGTTGCCTGAGTTTGTATTGTGGTATACTTAACCAGCAAATATACATCTGTGTTGAATGCTCCATCTTTAAAACTTCTTAAACTGTGTGTACTCTACGCTATTGGTGACCTTACTCTGCTCTTCTGTTTCTGCTCCCCCTATCCTTTTCTGTCTTTAACTGTCTTTATTCTGCTTCCACCTACACACCTCTGCTTCGAACTCTCTTATATGCACACCTTTTTTTTCTTTTCTTCCTTTTTTTCTTCTTCTTCTTCTTCTTTTTTTTTTTTTTAAATCTCCTCCTTCTAACCCTATACTGTCTTTCTCTTCTGGCTGTGCTTTCTGTAATTTGCACATTCTCACTCACCTTTCAACTCTTCCTGCTACAACACCTCCTCTACTTCATCACTACTTCATTCCCATTTTATTTCCATCATGTCATCTCTTATCTTTCTTTTTTTTCTTCCTACTCTGTTTTTTCTCAGAAACCGCGAGAGCTCCAGCCGGGCATCAAGCAGCCGTCAAAGCAGCACGGACAGTGACATGAAGTGCCTGGAGCCAAGGCCTTGGAGCAGCACCGACTCAGACAGCTCTAACCGCACTCTCCGGCCACCCGTCACTAAGGCCAGCAGCTTCTCTGGTATCTCCATCCTTACCAGGGGGGATAGCCTTGGCAGCAACAAAGGCTCGCAAGGGAGCTGCAAAGGCTCTCGCTCTGGTAAGGTTTGGAGAAAAGTGGAGAAGAAGCATTTAGGTAGTATGCTATTAGCTTGTTTTATTTTACTTGCCTTAAATGAGTAGTACAACATGGAGAGATGGATTATCTAGTCATGTAAGCTGTTTTTTGTATAAAACATAATGAAAAATTATGATAGAACTGACCGAACGTCATTGTAGTTTAAGAATTAGCTGTGTAGCATAAATTGAATTCAAGAAGCTCCCTTATGTCTATATTCCACATCCCATAAAATTCTCTCAGGTCGGCCTTCTTAGCGAGATTTTAAGGTAATGGATAGTGCCTTATTTCTTATTTCATTGCTAAATGTGCCAGATATTTTTTTTTAAACAAGCTCTGGAGAATGATATGGTTGGTCATTTCTAAAAGTTGCCCTTTTCATATGTAGCGCACAGCAAGAGATGGTCTGCTTCAGACAAATTCTCACCTTTGAAAATACTCATTTTTGGTTCAGGAGAAGGGTGCTGCCTGGGTAAAGTGTGGAGAATGAAGGCTATTTGACGCCCACTTGCGCAGTGTGTATTCACATTACCTGAGCTATTTCCACATGGCCTCTGTTGGGCATAACAGATTTTGTACTATGACCTTAAATAGCTTTTAAGGTCCGGCTGTGTCGGACATTTGCCTTCCCGAATGTGTCTCCATCGGCTTGTGTCTATAAAAGTTCAGGGCTGGAGTGCATGTGTGAAAACAATTTAATAGTGGTCATCAGAGGACTCGAGGATTGGTTGATTTGCTTCTCCCGACGGGGCTCCCCCGGTTTCATTTTAAGTCTGTGTTGACTGCTGTGCTAGTTTTTGCTTTTAAGATTCATGTGTAGAAGTGTTTTTGTCTGCCCTACTCTGTGGAGACTAAAGGTGTATTCATTTTTCCTGTATTGTTTTGGGAAAAGCCTGTGAAGATCCTGACCCTTGTTGAGTTTTTGTGTTGGTTTTTATTTTGGAAAGTATCATCCACACAGTCACAGGCAGCCTGTTGGTCAGAACAATAAAAGTATTTTCTTAGGAAATTGTGTGCCCCCAGTACCTACTAGCTACTTGACAAATGATTTGGACCCTGCAGTTTGTGACTTGTTAAACAAGTCATCAGAAACTCCTGTGGTTTTAAAGGCTTTCAAGGCCGTCCCTTTATTAGCAAAGAAAATATTAAAGCTACAGGTATTTATCTGATTAAGAATTAATTTCTGTCCAAACGTGTTCTTGTAAAATGTTGAGAGCTTATTTAGCAGAGCTGGTATTTTATAACAACCAGGAATCAGAAGTTACTAAAATTAGCTTCAATTGACTTTTTAAACTACAAAGGTGACAAACGTTTGATGCAAAGTTGACTTTATTTTGCCCTCTAGTGGTTTTGCACATATACAAATCATTTTCAGAAGTCTTCAGAACACTATTTGGTGTTATTCAGTGATGATGCAATATTTTAAGATCAAGTCATAATTTGTGGGTTTCAGTGTTGGAGAATTAAAATTTCAAAATGATCTCCTTTATCTATCATGTCATCTTCTAAATCACTAGGCCTTCCCCTAGTCAGCCCTGATGTATGTCCTCCACCTGCAGCCTCCCAGTCCAGCCGTAGTCTGCTACCCTGCCCATCTCAACAGCCACAGCAGCCACAGCCCCAGGCTCCACCTCAGACTGCCCTGCTGCCCACACCGCCGCAGCACCCTATGAGCAACCACATGATTGCTCAGGTAAGTTATCTCCACTACCAACCAAAAATGGATGCAATGGCACATTCAATTTGTGGTTTAATATAGGACGTCTGTTTGAGAGTCTGTTTTTCTTTTTGTTTTCTTCGGTGTAGCAGAAGAAAGAGAAAAACATGAGGTATTTAAGTGGTCATGACTGTTAGTGTAACAACTCTTACTTAAATGTGCATACTGTAATTGGAAAATATGGAAAATTTTTAGACAGTCCAGTTTATTCATTGAAATTAATTATTAAGGGCAGCAGTGTAATTTCAGGTATAAATATCCTGCAGACAGTGAAGCTGCATTATTTCTCCTTGTCATACACAGCTCATCAGTGAAAAAAGAATTTGAAATGGAAACTTGGCCTTCTCAATGTCCTACTCGCAAACACTTTTATTACTTCTTAAAAGTGAAAGAAAAAGTTGAAATGGCTACAGATAAAACATGCTCTTAATTAAAATAAAATTCTTAGACCCAGAGTTGTTTAATATATGGTCGACATCCCTTTTACTTAGGCCTGCATGCCACATTTTTATTCTCCAGAGCGAGGGAGAACTTTAAACACAGTTTTCTAACTATTACGGTTAGACACTGTGTGCATATTGTTCTACAATCACTTCCAGGGTGTAGTGGCCTGAGGACATTCCTTTCAGAACATTTGGGATTAATGCATATCCTGTTACACCCTCATCAAACGTATCAGGGAAAAAACAAAGACTTTGAGGAGGAATGGCTGGAAACAAGTGTAGTGAATTGAACATATTCAGCTTATATATAGAATCAATGTCAACCATCCTCCTTTAACAGGTTTGATTTTTCCAATAACTTCACAGTCGATAGTCTTTGATTGCACACATTTCCTTTTCTTCCTTTTTTTCTGAGTAGTAATAATTACACTTAATTTTTTATACATAATTTGTTTGTGTAATATTTAGAGAAAAAAAAACTTGATTTCCATTACTATCCTCTCTGCTCATTAACAACTTTTCCTTTGTGTTCTAACCCTCATTTTTCCTATGTCTTCATTTCTGTTTTTCCCTTCTTTTCACTGCTTCTGATGCCGTGTTCTTTTCACTGCCTTGCTTCACTCTCTCTATGCTCTACCTCTTTATTTCATCCCTTTTTTTGGTGTGTATAGCCGGTGGCGTCTCTGCAGCCCTCTCAGCCTGTCTCCTACTCCAGCCCTTCCTGCCCCCAGGTTCTCCTGCCAGTTTCTCCTCCCCAGCAGTACACAATGGTACTGACACGTATTATAGCTTCATCTCTGTTATACTCATTCAGTTAATGACTGACACTTTAGCTGATGCCATATCCTACTAAAAACACTTGCACTCATTTACTGTCCTGTTTACATTCACTCAGGGGAGTCAAAAACATATCTTGGTTCTATCAAGATGTGTGTCTGCAAATACATTTAAGTAATAGCTTTTTCATATAAATTGGTGTTACTGTCTAAAGTGGATTCAGTGAGTAAATGTTGTGTCTGTAGTAACAAAAGAAATGACAAGGATGTGTCCAGTTTGTTCCTGGCTGCGTTTCTTTTTTTTTTTTCTCTTTTAAATCACTGCATCTGTATGAGTGCAACCACGGTTGCCCACAGAAGCAGAGTTTGAGTTTGGTTGTGTTTACATTGGAACAGTCATTTGAAAAATAGTTTTCACTTGACTCTATGCAGTTAAATCTTAAAAGTTCATGCAGTACAATTAGAAAAAGACTGAACAACTGAGGAGTTTTTGGGAAGCGTTACCAGAAGCTGTAACCTGAAGCAGCTTTCTAAACCAAGCACAGCTTGTTTTCTGCCCCAGGGCCTTGCAGTCACTCACTCAACCATGAAATCCTCTCCAAAGTATTCTAGAGTCAGATCTATCTGAGAGCAAAAGGTGGCTGAAACCTGTCACACACCCTAGGATCATTGTCCTGTTGCAACAGTCATGCAACAGGACAATGATCCCAAGCACAGCAACAAATCTATGACAGAATAACTGGAAAAGACTCAATGTGGTGTAATGGCCCCAGTCAGAGATGAGTTCTGCCTGATTTAAAATGCCACGTTGGGACCTTAAGAGAGCTAAGCATAAATAATAACCTGCAAATTTCAATGAACTGTAAAGTCAAGTGTGTGAAAATTTGTCCAGAGGTGATGTGAGAGATGTGTTTTTTTGGTTTGTTTTTTTTTTAAACAAAATTGTGTAGAGTACTTTGAAAACTTTCTTTTTCACATGACTGTATGTAAAGCAATGACCGATTAAACCAGTATAAACTTCAGTGTCTAATTTTAGATTTTCCAGCATACAACAAAGTCAATACTCCTGTCATATATTCTGAATGTTTGCAATGTTGTATTTGGATTCTGCTAATAATAATAATAATCATGATGATGTGTTTAACTGTATATGTATATACTCAAAGTAATAAATAAAGTGTTTTCCAAAATGACACAATGACCCTTTAATAATCAGAATAGGAGTCGTTTTAGACCATTGCTAATGAAGCATTTAGGCTGTTGGAGATCATTGTTAATTACTTAGTATATCCTAAAATCCATCTCCAAAATCAAAAAACAGTACTGATATAGGAGTGTCACCTATAAGTCATAACCAACTAATGGCATTATTCCCATTCTACCCAGGGAGAAGAGCTGGCACCCCAGTTCACACAGATGACACTGAGTCGGCAGGGCTCCAGTGAGAACCCCGAGCCTCCCCCGATGTATCAGGCTACTCCTCCAGTGCTGCCGCAGCACCCCCCACCTCAGACCGGCTACATTATGGCTACTACGGGTCAACCTTTGCCACCTCCGTCTGGTTACCAGCCCAACACTGGACACCCCCATCCTCCACCTCCACCGCCTCCTCCATCCCAGCCTGTCATGCAGGCCGCACCACCTCCACAAGGCTACATGCAGCCCCCTCCACCTCAGCAGGTATGCATTCCTCCACAGGTGGTTAGATAAAAACAGCAGACATACCTTTTAGATTTAAATTCAGTTTCCACAGTTTGTCAGCTTTGATTGAATATTGATGTAGCTGATATCTGGAGGCAACCATGCCCAAGGATTACATGATTAATGAAATGTAACACAATGTAATAAATAAAACAGACCTGTGTATGGCTTTCATATCGGGTAGTTAAAATACAATTGCAAACATAAATTAATATTTCATACTTGCAAAAGGTTTTATAGATCTGTTATCTAATTTAAATCATTACCTAGAACAGCACTCTACACCGAAGGCAAAGTAATTAACTTCGTGATATGTCAGTTACCAAAGCTGTCACAAATATCATGGAAGATTTGCAAAATGTTCTGTTTTTATGGCTTTTCATCAGGCTTTTCACTCATCGGATTCTATCAAAAGTTATATACGTACTATTTGTAATGAACTAATTCAGTTTTGACATGTTGTGCAGTTTTCTTTATACAGATTCATCCTGATTGACACTTAAAAATAGCTTTGATTCTGTGTGCTTTCATTGTAAAGTTCTAATCTTGATCTTTAGAGACATTTATTGCTGGTTATTGGTGCATTGTAGTGTCGTGTACTCTAGTGTTTCTGTTGGCGAGTCAGCACGATCATAAAAAATTGGTGGCCAATACAGTCGTCAACAGGCTGAATCACAATGTTGTATGGTGAGATAGAATTAACCTGCACCCCAGCAAACCTGTGGACGCAGAAGTATAATCACACCTTTGAGTGGAGTTGATTGTCTTTTGTTTTAGCTCATCGTTTTGATTTACTCTCACTTTTCTGCTATGTTGTAAATGTCCTCGACATATTTCCTGCCTACAAAAATTTTGCAAAATAATCTTAAGATGCAGCACGTGTTTGCTTGGGTTCTCTCCAGGTACTCTGGCTTCCTTCTACATCCAAAGACATGCAGTTAGTGCTGTTTGGTTAATTGGTGATTCTAAATTGCCCACAGCTGTGATGCGAGTCTTGAGAGTCTGTCTTTTTGTAGCTGGGATAGCCGCCTGCAAACCCTGATAAGGATAAGTGGAAGAAGATGGATGGAGTTGCTTGAAAACCATCCAGTTGAAGTACAACAATGAATGATGAATGTTATTTGCTAAAGGTCTAAATAAGCAATTTTTAACAGAGGGGAAATTTTTTACTGCTTTAAATACAAGACTATTACTACAAATATTCCAGCTTTCATGCTGATAATCCTGTCCTAACACATTTGCTTTAGTGAAATTTAAGGACAAAGTATTTATGAAAGTCTTTATTGCTGTTGTGATTTGAGAATTTGATGGTTTGCAGAAGCAAAATAATATGGTAGTTTATTACTTCTACACTAAAAATTGTCTACACCAGTGTGATTCAGTTATTCTTCCCTTCAAAGTTCATTAAATACAGATTACTGAACTTTGGTTTGTTATTTCTACGCAGATACAAGTCTCATACTACCCTCCTGGTCAGTATCCAAGCTCAGGCCAGCAGTACCGTGTGTCCCAGCCAATGTCCCACCAGGTGTCTTACCCAACCCAACGCACACAACCCATGCCTCAGCCAGCACAGCAGTCAGGTCAGTTGATTTTCATGTGCTGTGCATCATCAGACAACATGATATTCAAAAAAATAAAAAAAATAAAAAATTTTTGATATGCAAAGACATAAATACTGCCATTTGCAGCAAATGGCCATTAAAAAGAGGCCTTTGTCAAATGTTGATGCACATTTACTTTTTATTGCATATTAATGTGTTTTTATTTTATTTTATTTTTCAGTCTATTGACAACTGGAAGACAGGGTTTTAATGTGTATTTGTAACAGATGTTGTATACTTAAGTTCAAAATTATTATTTGTCCATGTAGTTGTACTTACTGGAAATTCTATTGGGGATAAAGTCCACTCGATTTTGGAACTGTAAATGTTTTCCACAGTCACACTTGCTTTTAAATCTACCAGGTGAAAGGTTGGAGTGAAACAGCCGTGCCTGCTTGTTCATCCAAGTCCAATACAATCAGATAAATATAGGGCTATTTTTCCTTTTGTGTTCCTGGAAAAAGTTGTCAGGCGCCAGCATTGTATGGTTTGTGAAGTCTGGCTGTTTGTATAGTAAGTGACTGACAGTGTTGACAACCTAAACGGACTTTGGATCATAATGGACGTCTGCCAAAGCCACATAGTTCATGAACATGAAGGTCAGAAAGACCCTACATTACAACATGCCTGCAGTCTGGTCTGAAATATAATTTTTGTGATGGTGAAGATTTATACTCATAGAAAATTAATTAATGAATTTATATTATGTTTAAGCATGTAAGCTTAAAGTGATGGTACATTTCAGTTTTTGTGAGTTACGTGATTGTCAGTGCTCTGTAAATTGTTTTCCTTTTTTTCCCTTTTTATTTAATATATTATGGTTCTCTTTTTTGACATTAACGCTTATGTCCTGTTGTTCTGTGAATTATTTAAAGGTAAATACCCAACTACTCCTCTTCATCCCATTTTCTCCCTTCTGTCATATACTGTGGTTTTACTTTAAATATTTTTATTTTTAAATTATTTTGGTCATCAGGTCTTCAGACCATGATGCCCAGCCAGCAGCCGAGTTACCAGGGCATGATGGGTGTGCAACAACCCCAAAATCCTGGACTGCTCAATTCACAGAGAGCAGGAATGGGAGGACAAATGCAGAGTATAATGGTTCAGTACCCACAGATGCCATCATATCAGGTATGCAACTGTAGGAGTTGATAAAGGATACTTGTCAATGGTCATATCTTTCTTTGGTTAATGTGACTAGTTGATGATTACAGAACTGTCAGGTTTTTTTCCAGGTGAGAACAAAAGTTAAGCATTTCCAGTATCTAAACCACATGCGGCTCAATGTTAAAACATCGCCATCTGTTGTACAGTTGAAACATCATTTTATGTCTGTGAAACAGATGTGGAGCTTACAGTCCTAAAACTGCAACAAGCTTAACAAAACAATCTAAGCAAATATTTTGAAAGTAGACCTGTTTTTCTGCTGTACTGATACAGATAAGAGTTAAAAGAACTGATCAGATCTAACTCAGGTTTGTGTCAGTGGTTTATTTAGAGTCAGGGGTGCAGCTGCAGAAAGCTCTCGCTTTTTGCCACTGTAGTTTGTGTTGTGTGTAGGCACCGAAGAACACCTCAACCCTGTGTTGGCAGCCAAAAAAGCTTGCATTTATGATCCATGTTGCGATGATATTTTACTAAAATGTGCTAACATGGAGTTTTGATTATGTGGTTTAGATTGTGAATTGAATAAGGTTGCCGCTCAGAGGCAACTGAAAATCTGTTGCTACTGTGATATTCCAAACACACCAATATGCAGCAAAGAGTTGCGCTGAATATCTGGTGCTTGTTAAACAATAACAAACGTCGTGCAAAGTGTAACACGGGTTTAACACGAGTATCTACCTAATCATCTTTGTCAGAAGACCCCTAGACCCATCAGTACACATTCTTGAACTGGACTTTTTTTCCCCTTGATCTTTGACACTTTGCTAGGTACCTGTGGGTAATGAAAATCAGCAGGTGGTGCAGCAGCAGTACCAGCAGCAGGTCATGGTCCCAGTCAGCCAGTCTGTCCAGGGGCCCATGCCTGTTTACTACAGTGTTATCACACCCACACAGCAGAATAGCACAAGGTAGGTGCTTGAAGACATGTTATTCCAACAAGAGATTTAATAATAACCTTGAGGTATTTGAAATGGTTAATATAACCATCCACAATGTGGTGATGATGTTCATCTTTTTATGTGTCTGTCTATCCTGCAGTCCATCAGTAGGTTACCTGCAGCCCCCCAGCTCTGAGCAGTATCAGATAACACAGTCACCATCCCCCTGCAACCCTCCACAGTTGCAGCAGCAATATTCAGGTGAGGCTTGATGTCAGCAGATTGTAAAGATGAATATGTTTAGGATTTTTTGGACATCAGAAATTTGTGTGACATCCATAATTAATACTGGACTTATATGCTTTATAAAAGTGTTGGCTCCTAAAAAGAAAACAGTCTAAAAACTGTTTTTGTTCTAGACTGCAGCAGTCCCAGGTACATCTGTATTTGAGTATATACTAGTGCTGACCTGATGAAGTCATAGTGTGCTTAAATCTACAAACACTATGTTGACTAATCTTAGTTGCAACTGTCCTTTACAAAATTAGATGAAAGGTATTTAGGTAAGAGTTCAGACAAAGGTACACAGGGTTCACATGTTTAACACGCAACTCGGTGTACTTCAAGCCCTGCACACGGGGACAAACAATGTTTTACCTCAAATTAGGTCAGGTTTATTTTTATGTATTCATAGAGCAATGTGATTGGCCAGGAAATGAGATGTATCTATAAACGTGACATTGTTCTTCAATGTTTTCTGCAGTTTTGCTTCATTTGTGACAATTAATAATTTTATCTGATTTTAACCCGTAAACATGCTTCTCTTTCTTGTGGTGGTTCATAAAACCACCAAATTGAAAGTTGTTGCGTAAACAGAGGGGAGAAAATAATGAGAAAATTAATTTAAAAATAAGTCAGCTTGGTTGGCATTTATCAAAACTATGCAAACAGCTGATCTAATGCAGGTGTACACAGATATAAAGACATCTTAATTATACAACTATATTTTTAATGGTTATAAGTTCTCTTAATATGGTTGTCATGTTATAATAAATGCCTTAATATTATATTGTTCATTATCTGTTTTTAAAGCAGCTCTCACTCATGGATGAACACAGATTACTTAGATTAATAGTTGTCTGCACTATAATTTAATATATAATATATGTGGCTTACTAAAGTGGTTTAAAGTCTTGGAATTGCTCAGTTGTCACTCTTAAAGGGAAACTGGTATTTTAATTAACTTGTGTAAAGCTGCCTTTTTTGCTGAATCAAATATTTATCTTTCAAAAGATATGAAACGTATTTCACTACACATATTGATATTATTATGTTACACGTGTCTGACTGTTTGTGCTCTCTCAGGAGTACCACCTCCTGGGCCTGGGGTGATGGTCATGCAGCTCAGTGTCCCCAATGGACCCCAGCCTTCCCAGAACCCCCCTCTTGTCCAGTGGAACCCTTGCAAGTACTACAGCATAGAGCAAAGGGCAAGCAAGCCAGGCGAGCTCTACAAACCTGACAACACTCCACAGGTACACGCGTGCATGCAAGCCTTGTTGATCAATGCA